ATAGTACCCCTAGAGGAGAGCCGGTCGCTGACGTTGACACTACTTTAGAGGCTTTGTCAACACACCCCTCATGGACGCCCTCGATACAGAACTTGGCTTCCAACTCCCGAACAACGCCGTGCTCGGCCGACGCGCCGACCCTATTGAGATAGCGAAAATAATCCAGTTCCTGCTAAGCAGCGACGCGAGCTACGTTACTGGCTCTGTGTGGCAGGTCGATGGCGGCATGCTGTGTTGAGTTGAGATAAGGGAAAAGAAAGACGTGCAGACGCGAATTGGTGTTGCAGAAGCGAGAGTGGGTACGAGAAGAGGTCGCTATACACGCTCTGGGGTTAGTTTGGGTTTCTACGATGGGTGTGGAGTATTCCCACTTCAGAAAGACGACGATGGTGGAAGCGAGGCAAGCTTATGCTTACTTGCCGAGATGTCATACAACTGTCTTTTTCAGCCTTACAAAAAGCAATGTGATCTCCGTCGTTGAGCTGGGTACACATGCCGCAGACCCGTACCAGAGTTGAGAGAGTCGACGTTAATGCGAGTCCCGCACGCATGTGCTATTCTGGGAAAGGGTACCTAGGTAGTTGCAATTCGTTTTCCTCAGATACACGAGAGGCGTTGTGGAGTTGCAATTGTCAGCATTGAATTGCTTTTTGGTTACTATCGATAAAGACGCGCCGACACTTTCGATGATGGCATGATCAGACAATGCACGTTCGGTTGCGGACTGTTGTTAGACAAGCGGTAGTGCTCTACTTACGCGTCAAGTGCCGCTGCATACCCCTTCTAACAGGGCAGCGATCTGCACCCCAGCCGTGCTGCTTGCGAATCCGCGGCTCGGAAGGCATTGCGCCAACCTTAGAGTTTGTAGATCTCGTTTTCGTGGCAGGCAAGGCTAGAAGTAAAAAAGCAAGAAAGTAATGAGTCGATCTCGGAGAGACTGCCTAGTGTCTCGCTGAGTTTCCCTGGCTGGGCAAAGTGCTACTTTCTTGCTTCTTGTCGCCTGAGTGAGGTTGGGGAAGAGGGAGGGTTGGAGCAAAGTTAGACTAGTATCAATGCCGCGGACCCGAACCAAAAGTCGAGCGAAGGCGTTGACCCGGCCCAGAGATCGTGAGCCAAAGTCCATACCACCCCCATACGTGCGGGATGCACCGACGTCGAACCAGTGCTCAATGTGGTTTTCTAATCATCAAATGCCATGACATCGAAATAACGGCATGGGCAGAAAATAGTAGCCTCGAACGCAGTGTTAAATGACTCGTGGTATTTCATTTCACAAGCGCGAAACTCTAAATCAACAGAATAGTTCCCCTGCCAATCACAGGCGCCGTCATCTCCCCATGGACCTGAAAACCTTTTCCCGACGAGGATCAGTGGGCAAGGCTTGAATGACGACAGAGTCGAGCTCGCGATTCGATCCGTTCGAGCCAATGCGATCATGGTACTTCCACTCCGACTCCGTGCTTCGGATGGAGAGCGCATCCGGGGACTTTTGTCTCCTGTCGTTTCCCCGCACGCGATCGGCAAGGTTCTGGGATGCGGAGATGAACCAGGGGAGTCTGCCGGCGGGTTTGACTGGGTTCCTGAGTTAGCGGCTGGTATTTGATGATGGGAAAGTGCGGCGAGATGGGATGCGCGATGTGATGAAACTTACTAGTCCAGTATTCACGATTATCTTCGTCTTCGGGAACGATGTATCCGCCGGATATAAGCTTTGTCAAATAGATCATGCCGTTGAGTGCCGTGTACACCATCAAGCCCGCAATAAGACCGTAGGCTGCGCTGTATCCGAATGGGATGAACATTACGGTTACGAAGGCTGGGACGGCGTCGCCGATGTATCGCCAGTTGATGGAGGAGATTTGTCGCATCATCAGGCAGCCAACCTATATTTACGTTAACGCTAGCAATATGGAGGTGGTGCCAGGTGACTTACGAGAACCAAAGTGCTTCCAGTAGCCCATGGTGGGATCGAAGCGAAGATAGGTGCGAAGAACATCGAGATGAGGAAGCAGACGCCACAGGTCATGGCAGTCAGTCCTGTTTTCCCGCCCTCTGCAATTCCTGCTCCACTCTCGATGAAGGCAGTGACGGGTGAGCAGCCGAGAAGTGCACCCATGGAGATGCAGAATGCGTCTGTGCAATAGGCTATCGTTGATCGCGGGAAGTCGCCAGTCTCTGCGTCCACCACTCCGGAGAAACGTGCCATGGAATAGAGCGTAGCTGTGCAGTCGATAATGTCAACATATAGGAAAGTAAAAAGAGCGAGTGCGAAATGGCCAGGTGCTGCGTTGACGTTCCAGTCCAGGGCGTTCAATGTGCGGTTGATGGGATGGAAGTCCACGACCTTCTTGAAGAACTCGAAGCGGTTATCGCCGACCTCAGTGTAGGGGAAGAAAGTGACTGAAGTGCCTCGTCTGTATGCATGTTAGCCTTCTGAGCTTGACTGAGATGATGAAAAAAGCTCACGGCCATGAAATGATTGACACAAGCAAGATAGCTAGAATCATGGCGCTCTTGACCTTGTATGTCATCAAGTAGGCTGTCAAGATACCACCGCCAAGGATGCCTAGCCACATCTGCCAGACATGTTAGCAATATTTGATGAGCCGGCATCATATGACCTACAGTAGGTGAAGTCATCTTGTGACTTGTGCATGAGCCAAACTCATCCTTGTATTGATCAGGACACCCCGCGATATCAAGTGGGGTACTCTTTGAGCCCGCAATGGCACCAATGCCCGCGTTGTTGCTCAGTCCGACTTCTGCAAGAAAGAGTCCTATACCACAGGCCGCGGCGATCTTGAGCGATACTGGTATGATCTTGACGAGCCATTGTCGCATGCCAATCAAGGACAAGAAGATGAATATGAAGCCCTCTGCAAAGACGGCAGTGAGCGCAAGGTTGTAGGAAATGAGGCCTTGGCCATGGAAGCCGACGATCTGGTAGGCGAAGTATGCGTTGAGGCCCATACCCGGTGCAAGACACACGGGCATATTGGTGAAGAACCCAAAGAGGAAAGAGCTGAAGCCGGCTACGGCAGCTGTAGCGGTGATGAGGTTGCGGTTCAAATCTGAGCTTGGATCAGCTGAAGTTGTTGAGAGTATAGACGTTTCCTACCCTGCTTGCAAATGAGGTATTCCGTGTTCGTTAAGCACAGAGGGTCTGTGGCATCATTGCACACGCAATTACCGCCTGTATCAGCGAGGATAGTAGCCTAGGCTCGTTAGTATTTTGCGAGACATAATCCTTCGAGAGCGTTACATTGACCGCGATGATGTATGCCATTGTGAAGAAGGACGTAAGTCCTGCCCGCACTTCGGTGGTGAACTTCGTATGCAGGATCTCATCTTTCTGTGAAAACAGTCAGTCATGTTTGAGATATTACTACAACTGTCCAACATACATGCCCACAACCAGAGAGACGGAATATCCTGCCAAAAGTCGACCGGCCGACGTAGACGTTGAACGAGTGGATTGAGGAACGTATGGACTCCATGTTGCAGACGTGAAGTTGGCCGCCAGTTGGGGGTTTCAATCTCCAGTATAAGAGATGCAGTGATCGGCAGCAGATAGCCCTGCGTTGACTATATTTGTGTCACGCACGTCCGGTATAAGCAAACATGAACGATTCGGAACGAAAAGGTATATGGTATTGATCAATCGCCAATGCGATCGCTTAAGGTGGGGCCATAAGCAAAGGGCCTTCCAGAAATGCAATGAAAAGTATCGACGACAGGGCGAGCTGGCTATACATCACACTCGAGGCGATGTGATATCAACCGTAAGGGATGGGTGGGAACGACGAGGGTAGGCATGCGGCGCGGCAGGGAAAAAAGCACGATCTAAGAAGCTTTTGGACGGCGTGACGGCATGACAACCTAGGACGGCCGCCGCAAGCGTAGTACAAGTGAATTGAAAGGCGGCAGGAGCGTTGTCATGCAGCTGAAGCGGAGACTCGTGGAGCGTGCTGGAGTGTGGCAGTCTAGGCTCGTACTCTGGTGGCTTGACGGAAGCGAGTCAGGGGCCGGGGAGCCTAGCTAACGCTAGTCAGGCACGCCCGATGTCGATCAGGCTGCATCATGACTGGCCAAAGGGATGATGTCTGGTGCCCCTCCCGCATCTGCAGCAAAATGACGGGGCGACTAAAAGCCTTAGTAGAACCTTGTGCCTCTCCCTTGCCGATTGCTTCTGACAACAGTCACAACACAGACAGCAACTAAGGGCAGATCACTTACAGTTCACGCCGCCCTGGCGGTTCAGCGGCCTTGCAGCTGATTTTGTCCATGGCACCGGTGTCCGCCCTTGTTCCTACGGCACTGATCAGAGGGATCAACTGTGATCGCCGGCCTAGTTGGGTTTGCAATTCGTAGCCCGCGGGTGCAAGTCAAGGTCGGCGGCATCATATCGGTTATTCAACCTAGCAGCCGTCATGTTGGCATGTGCGAATCGTATCCAGCCACAAGCGGTTCTGCAAAACCTTGGGCGGAGACACCGAAAGTTGGAAAAGTGAGCCCGATAAGCCAGCCAGTCGCAATTGCTGTACAACCCGAGTATTTGCTTTTTCGGGGAAGAACCGAATGGAAGAGGCGTTGCTTTGCACGCTCATACCACGTGTAGGTGTATCTTTCCCCAGCAGTATGGTCAACAACCCGAAAGCTCACGGTGCGCTTAGTGGTTTTGCGCCGTGGAGGAAGCACGGCAGGGCACTAGCGCATGAGTTCGGATTAGGGAAGCCCTGATAGTAGTCCTAAAAAGGTCAATAACGCCACGGTCCGAGTGGTGCGACAGCGTTTCGATGCCGCGGAAACATGGGACCGTTGCGTAACTCGCTTTACGGTTGCGACACCCTCCACCCAGGTACTTGACTACTTTTCCGTCGAGAGGTGCGGCTAGCCTTGAGTGCTGGATAGCCTTCAGTCGATCATTCGCTCCCACCCCTTGAAAGATCGACTTATAGTGGCCCCGCTGCACTCCGCTAGACTCGCCACTGTGATCAAACATGTTCGCAACCGACTTACCACTGGATCAAGAGGCGGAGTCTGTTGGAGCGCGGAGGGAGCGAAAGACCAAAGAGCGATCCATCAGGTCAAACTCCATCCATACTTCACGAACGTCCACTAGTTCCGCAAACTCTGGCTCTACCGACCGTGAGCAATGGTGGTCTTCAGGCCTGAAGAAAGCAAAGAGTATAAAACCCAGGATACTACGACCATCAACCGGACAAACCACGGATTCTCAGAGAACCGCGAAGACCGTGCCAGCCGAGTTGGACTTGACCCGCACGCACAAGCTCAAGGATCCCGCGCTGCACCCTAGCTGGACATACACAGGCACTATTCCTGCGAAACTTCCATCTGGTGATTCTCTGCATCCGCAACAAGATGAAGTACCGGAGCTGGAAGGTGAAAAGTCCTCTCGAAAGACAGACTCCACGAGATCGCGCGTCTCACGTAAGTCATTAAGCATCAGCGTACCACGATCATGTGCTGAAGACATATTCCAGATGACCGAAAGCGCTCGGTGAGGACTCCGCCGGTAGTTGACAGCAGCGATGACGCAACGCAAGCAAGCCGCGTCAGTCCTAGATCTTTTGTTACGAGCAGAACTCGTGCCAGTTCCGAGACCCCTGAAGATAGAAGTGCCCCGCCAATGTCAATGCCAGGAGCGAAGAGGGTTGACAGCGGGTAAGTAATGTTTCCACCAACGTCGGTCTTATGCTTATTGTCTGTAGGTGGCCACAGCCAGCTGAAACCGAAGCAATGCCCAAAGTTGAAGCACTCGAGCTGCATGACAGCTTCCAGGAGAAAGAACACGAAGACGCTAAGCATGTCTCAAAAGCGAGCGGTGGCGCAAATTCCGAGGTCTCCTGCAAGCCTCTCTCGCAATGGCAATGTCTCACTCCACGAGGGGTACCTTCGGAAATACAGTTGCAGTCGCGGTTGACCCCTAAGAAGGTTGCAGTCGCCCAGAATACCACACCGGACCTCGGACGTTTTACACGATTTATCCGGAGAATGGAGGGAGCCGGTCCCAAAGTCATCCTGGACCGACTGAAGGAAGATTGGCAGTGGAGCACAGGCGGAGACGTTGATGAGGAGGTACGTGTCGTCGTTATAACTCTGCACAGACCTTTGCTAATAGTAGAAACAGTTGGTCCTCGAGAAACAATTGTGGCTGTTGACGGGGTTCCAAATGCAGAATTTGGGTCGGGAACGGACCCTGCCGAAGCCCGAATGTAACACCGGGAGGATCCTTGAACTCTACGGTAATCTCTGTAAGTCCATGTTGTGCCCTTGCGTTACGCTGCTGTGCAATCTCTAACGGTCGATGTCAGCTGAGGTATACCAACTGTCGGCAATGCATCCGTCCCAAACAGTGCACTTCCTCACTACCAAACCCCAGCGACGTGTTCAGTTACCGGGCAACGTATCCTACTTGACAGTGCGCAAGCTTGGTGCTGTTCCACTGCCTTACCCAGAGGACTACTTCTCGCATATAAGAGCATCGACGTTGCCATCGCTGGTACCATCTGCCATATTACCGGAACTGTTCAGCGAATGTCACAAGCTGCTCGCTACCGGTGGTTTCCTAGAGATCAGGATCATGGATGCTGCCCCGGTACGCAAGACTACCGGCCCATTGATGCGAACCTGGATCGAGGACAGACTCTCCGTCAATCTGGAGCGAGACTTCAGATGCTCAAAGCCATGTTCGCTGGTCCCCAGTTGGCTGACAGCTGCCGGATTCGAGATGCTCGTTCAGGAAGACAACCAGAGCATGACGCTACCGTGCGCTATCGACTCAGATACTGCCAATGTGAACGAAGAGCTTTCCATGATCATCGGCCGGGCCTTCTGGAAGGACATATGGGGTAGCTTCGTAGACGACGCTCAAGACGAACCGAAGTGGTGGTGGGAAGACGAAGAGATCGTTCAAGAATGTGTAAAGCGCCAAACCTTGCTCGAGTGCAGGACGATATTTGCATACAAGCGATGAGCGCCGTACTTTGTGGCACCGTGGATGATACAATGTAATAGTACTGAAGGTTTAGCGGGATGGAAATGGCGTTGGTGGAGATATGGGGCGTCTGTACGATAGGATACCCGACGCGTGTTGCTGTCACTACCGCTTACGATTATACCGCCTTTAGACCTGTAGTTAGATAGCGATGCATTTGGTACGCGTACATTGATGGTTGAATGTGCGAGCCGATCAATGGAGCCCTAGTTAATCCCTACCCCGCGCTACCCATATGGGTATTAGCGTCCTCACACGTGACAGCGTGCCTCCTGGGCATTATCGGACCTTGGTAATAATGGTTATTACTATCATCTTATTCTTTCTCATATCGAGTCGCAAAGGATGGAACCCGCTGTGTACCACCAAAAGTCGAAATGCGGTAGCCGCTTTGTTTCGCTCCGCCTCCCCCAACCGTCCGTGCCACGCCCTTCGTTTCAGCTGCAAGGTCCGCGACGCGTCGTGGCTACATGATCAGCACTATGTCGGCACAACCGAGACTTCTCCTGCACATCTCTTTCATTCCACAGTGCCTTCGGTCTGCTTCCCCTACAGGTTGATTAATACTTGCATCACTCCTTCATAATTTAGCGTAGCCCCTACACAATCGTGCGGAAATCTAGATCGGCCCCCGATCGATATATCCGAATTACGACCGCTGAACGACATCAGCAAACATGTTCAGTTCTCTAGGGACAAAGATAGCCCTCCGAAAAGCCGGACTGGGCGGTGTATCGCTACCAAAAACCGACGGCTTGTTTGGGAATGGCAACACGAAGAAGGGGAACACAAATGGCGCCGAGGGAGGAGACACAGGTTTCGCCAACCCATTCGCAAACGTACAATGGGGTGTACCAAAAGCCCTACAATCTTGGACGACACCTCCACCACCGCAGAACCCGGTGCGCAAGCCACCAAACATAGGAGACCGCGCACAAAGCCATCCTAAGTTGCAATTTCCTACAGCCGATGGGCGGCCGACTATACTGCTGTTCCTGAGGTTTTGCGGATGTCCTTGTGAGTAGTCATCATCCCAGAGGCTGTATTCGGATGCAACAGTAGAAATTAGACATCTGCTAATAGCTGCAACAGTCTCAGAGAAACTCTTCCTCACGCTCCGAACCCTTGCGAACAAGCACACTTCCATCCACTTCGTCGCAATATCGCACTGTACACCTGCTGCAACTACAGAATGGGTAAAAAAACTCGGCGGGGCCTGGAATGTAGACGTAATAGTAGACCAAGACCGGGAACTATACGCGCTATGGGGTCTAGGCATAGCGACTTGGGGTCATGTTCTGCATCCCAGGAATGGCTACAACCAGGTCATGCTCAGGAAGAATGAGGGGGTCTGGGGTCAACTGGTTGGAGAAGGCGCATGTAGATGGCAGGTTGGAGGCTCATATTCGGTGGACGGGAGGGGAGTGGTGACATGGGGTGGACCGATGCAATCAGCAGACGAGGCGATACCATTCGAACACGGCGTAATGTCTCTTGGATATGGAGAGACGAGGATATAATGCCAAGGCATTTATCGGAATTGGATCCCTCTGAGATGGGTACCCAGGCTGTCTGGATTCTACATGCGGGCATAATCGATGCACGTGAACGCTCTTACAGATGGGAATGGTCTACATCTTTCTTGTATAATACCTGCCGGCTTCGACTTGGCTCTTCCAGAAGAAAAGCCCATAGTCAACAAGGAAACATTGACATACTTGGGCAAACATCTTAGAGTTTACATGACTATAATATCAGCTTCGGTTTGTTGGACAAAACTTATCATCGGACTCTACTGAAGGTCATGACTACACCTGAAGAAAGCATCTCGGAACAGCTTCAATACTGCCAGCTCATCGCCGCATTGCAAGCTCAAGCGATTCGTGAGTAATGAACGGCCTTTTATGCGAAGTAAACACAAACGGAACAAGACAGTTGACGTCTATACAGGACACATCACTGCCATATTTAGCCACGACTATCCCAATTACCACCATTTCGAAGTCCTGACTGGTGCAAAGACCATTGTCGACGATCAGGGCGAAATACGGGCTATTTACTGTACAAGAGCGCTAGTGTACCTAGATTCTGGTTGCAGCAAATGGCATTTGGTTGCTGAAGGTGAAAAGAGTTGTTACACACCTCTGAAGGCGATGGAGAACTTCCTCGGTGGGACCATGGTCAGATTTGAGGAGGTGATAGGAAGTTGCTGCCATACATCTAAACAAATTGCGATACCTAATGGAGCGGACTGACTTTAACGTAGCTGAGCGAGAGGGAGGTACTATTCGGGAGTATACTGAAAGGGAGTATAGTCCAGACTCGGATGAATATTATAATCAAGCAAACGATGATTGGTAGAGACGAGGACATAAATTGTAGTAGCGTTCTCGTTGTTATTTACTGCGGATGTATCTTTAGTCGTAATAACTAGCACTCTTCGCTGCATATAAGAGCCTATAATATATATTCTGTTAGAATCTAAATATTAAGGTAGCTAGGAACTAGCTACCTTAGGGTATATAAAGGCGTTACTACCTACTTTTTAGTATTTAATTAATTTTTATCTTATTCTATTTTAATAAGTTATAAGCTTAGATTTTACGTAGTAAAATAAAAATACTTATTTTTCTTTCTTTTTCTTTTTAAACTCTCTTACTAGACGCGTAAGTATTCTTTATAATAAAGTTTATAACTTTCTATAATATAGTAATTTAGATACTTTTTTTAAGTATAAAGCTTTTAAGAACTAAAAAGAACTAAAGCTTATTTTAAATAAGCTTTTATCTAATATTAATTAAAAAGTATTTTTAAAAGAAATAAAGAGACCTTTTAAATAGTAGATCTAGACTAAGTATTATAGAATATATCTCTAGATACTTCTTAAAAGTATAGTATATAATTATACTAGTATAGATTAAGATAAGCTCTTAGAAGCTTTACTACTTAAAAGAGCTTTTTAAGTAAGCTTATAATATAATAATTTATCTTTTATTTATTTTTATACTTCTAAATATAATAGTTATAAGCCTAGCGCTTTAAAAAAATAATATAGTTTTATATTTATATACTTAAGATATAAAACGTTTAATAGAGTATAGTAATACTAATTTTATTACTAATCTTTAAGCTTTTATAAAAGTACTACTTTATTACTTATAATAAGTAACTTTATAATAATTTTTATAAAAGCTTTTATACTTACTAACTTAGTATATTAACTTAAGTAGTTTACTTAGTTTAAATTCTATACTTTAAGTAAAAGAATTTAGGCTAATATTAACTTTAATACTAAAATAGCTACTTCTATTTAGATAAGCGTTCTAACTACTCTAGAGCTAGTAGTAATTATATAAAATACTTTAGTTAATAAGCTTTATACTAATAAGTATAACTTATTTATTATAAAGTATAAAGTATAAGTAATAAAATAGTAGTTAAAGAGTACTTATATTAGATATCTTTAGAACTAAGTTAATTAGACTATTAGTCTAAAGCTTTTAGCTTTTACTATACTTTTTATCTTTATAAAAAAAAAAGCTATATTATAAGTACTTATTAAATATCTTAAGTTTATACTTTCTTTAAAAAAGAACTATACTAAGAATTTTATATACTTATAGTATAGAGTATATCTCTAGAAAGTATAATAGAGATATATTAATACTAAGCGCTAGTAATAGAAATACTTTTATATTCTAGTTTAAGCTAAAGTATATAAACTTACTAAAGTTAATAATATACTTACTATTTAGAACTATTTAGAAGTAATTAGTATTAGACTTACTCTAAAATAGAAGTACTTTATATAGTAAGACTTTATTAAAGCTCTTACTATTAGTAGAACTTAGATTACTTTTAAATAAGTATTAAAGATTTTTACTATACTAATCTAAAAGTATACTACTTACTTTAATAGTAGAGGTAGTATATTTACTATTATAAAAGTACTATAATAAGCTTTTAATAGTAATAACTTATTTTAAAAGCTTAAAAAGAATTACTTATATAAATAATACTATAATTAGTCTACTACTATATATAAGTATTTAGAAATAGCGCTTATAAGTAAATTTCTAAAGCTTTCTAATAAAGCTAAGACTAAAATTACTACTAAGCTTAAAAACTTAAAGTATAATAGCTTATAGAAAGCTCTTAATAAGAAGAAATAGACTACTTTATAGTAAGTATAAATTAAAAGTCTAAACTCTATTTACTTAGAGTTAATTTAAGTAATACTTATTAACTTTACTTTTATTATAAGTTAGCTAAGTATTAGTAGTATATACTTTACTATAAATTTTAATATCTACTTACTTTTTATAAGCACTATCTTAGATAATAAAGTAGTAGTATATTTTATTAATAATATATTTCTACTTAAGCTAAAAACCTTTATAAAAGTATATAAATTTTATACTATAAAAGTAGAAAGCTTCTTTTTCTAAGTACTTAGATATAGTATATAAAAAATTAGAAATACTTTAACTAGAAAAAGAAAACTATATATAAAGAACTTTATTTTAATAAGTATAGCGCTTATAAAGAGTTTCTATATTAATATAGTTTTAAAAGTAGCTTTTAATAAAGCTAGACTATAGTATTTAGAGTTAGACTTAATACTTTATATAAAAATACTTACTAATAACTTTATACTAGTAAAGCTTAAAAAAAAGTATAAGCTTATATTTATTAAATATAATTCTTTAAAGTTTTACTTAACTATAATAAGTATAACTAATAACTAGTGCTTATAATAATTTTAAAAAAGCTTTTCTTAGTCTAATTTAGAGAAGCTTTAGTATATAAAAGTAAGCTACTTAAGTCTAGAAGCGCTCTAAGCTCTTATTAAGAATATACGTAATATATATATTAAGAAAATAAGCTAAAGTAAGTATAAGTATTATACTATTACTTATATAAAGTAGTGTATCTCTAGATAACTATATAAGAAAGCTCTAAGACTTTATTAGAGAATT